GTTACTGAAGAGATTCATTGTTATCTTTCCGTGAAACAACTCTGTACGTGTATGTACATGTAGTTACGTATGTAACAGAACAAATAATACAAAACATTTCCAAAAATGCCTGATTAAGTGGGGCCAGTAAAATCCTGGCAATACTTGTAGATATGCTTGCAATTAAATACAAATTATCACTGTGACCAGGAAATAAAGAGAGAAATCCCTGATATTACATGTTGACCTACTTTTGCCATCGTAAATGAACTTTTAAATTTTGATATACTGTACCATTATCCATGCAGAGTTTGTAATTTTATTCTCCTCTGTCCAATACACCAGTGTTCAAAGACTTGGTACGAATTCGGCTAAGACTGGCCAACAAAATGTTCACTACTACTAGAAAGCTAGAAACAACACTATTTCACAATTTCACCACAGGAAGTGGTCGTGAAATATCATACAATACGCTGTTGTACAAATGGCACAATAAAAATGGTTCAAATCAAACAGAAAATCTTATTAACAACCATGCTATTTATTCCCAGACTAACTCCAGAAAAAAGAGCTCATTAAGGGCAATGACTGCACATATAGATTTAGAGCACACAGCGTAATGCAAGCAACTGCACTAGCATAAAATTTAATGTTGTCATGATGTTGGCATGAATATTCAACTTCCTATACCTCAGTATAGGAAGTTTTAAGGATGCAGATCACACTCAACAAATTGCAGTGGCAATCACAGGGTACAAAGGGGTTTTGTGGTTGTGAAACAGATGGTGGGCAGCAGCAAGCGTTTAGGCTCTGGCTATGGACATACCAGGCATGCCAGAAAGCGGTAATTGGCCAGATGTTACAGCCCGGGCAGTTCAAACTCCTCCTGTGTCTTTCCTCTATGGTTTTAGGAATGATTACTAGCCCAGTGAGCTGGGATTAACAGTAATGCAAAATGCCTTCAGTACCAGAATGTTGGGTATGTGTGCATTACGGGTATATCTTTCTTTGTATGTTATTCATTATTGATTATTTACATTATTACATGTCCAGGCTTTGATCTTTACAGCTGCCACCAGTGGCAACTGCCACGATGCCACAGTGAATTGCCGCGATGCCCTATAAAAATAGCACATATCTTTCAGCCACTTGGCCAACGTGCCCGTCTTCAAATTCAATGATCACTGGGTGCCTACATGTACATGTACACTGTATGTTAAGGTTCAAGTTGTATTCAACTTTCAAGTTACCGTTTAGACAGTGCCAGTGTTTCTGTCAACGTCTGGCCAGCCGCACCGAGTACTATTTTTTTTACGGACTGGTTTTTCATTGCCCTGTAGACAACATGGTATAGCAACCTTATTAACGTACATGTAATTGAGTTATGTGATTCTAAAAACTTAGCACCAGACTACCTTTATACTATAGACTGGTTACAAGTCGCACCACAGAATCACACATTGTGCACTAGATTCTGTACATTGTGATATTAAAACCAAGTCACTATTATTTTGGGATTGCGGACGGGAGTACGGCCCAGTCTATTTTTTTCTCTCGCTATCTTACTGTACTGGTATGTATTTACACGGGCGCCAGTGGGCTTCTATTGGTTAAATGTTTGTGACTCAGTGACTGACTTGCTTGAATTGCATTGTTTGTGATTAATTACATTGATTTTCATGATACAGTGTTGCCTTTATGGCATCGTGTAAAGTAATAAGACACAACACCAAATGGTGGTAAACAAGGGGAATTAGTACAGTATTATGTATTTTTATTTGTTACAATTCATGCAGTGCCACTGCTCAGCATGTGAACAGAAACAATGAAAATTGCAGGTGAAATTAGTTAAACACCATGCTGAAATTAAAGGAAAGTCTATTAAATTCACCAACAAGAAAAAGTTTCAAAATGGCTTTGGTGCCCTTTGGTATTTGGGAGCATTCAAGGCCAAGTGGCCTTGACCCTCTGAAGTTTATGGTTGAAGCCTGTACATGTCAACCCTTCATGTGTACATTTCAAGTTTCATATTGTGTTTTTTTTTTTCAACAAGCATTGTAATGTACACTATTCTACAGCTACACTGTACAGGAATTTGCATGCATGTAGGTCATGATATATTCATGAATTACTGATATTCCGCTTGCATGAACAACAATACATTCGTGTGTACAGAGCACTACATGAACATACATGTAGGCATGGCTACATACAGTATACATATTGTTTCCTTCCAGTTTTTCTGACATACTTCCTTGTTGAGAGACCACAATTCATTCCGCTTTGGAATAATAGACAGTGCATGCGGATACGTGTGTTTTGGTACAGGCCACATTTGTAGGGAAGTTCTTCAGAAGCAGTTTGGCATGCACTTGTACATTTAGCTGAATGTGCATGTACATGTACATTTATGCTCATTTGCTGAAACAACATTAATGCTTTTAGTTTGCAAACACCGTAGACATTACATTTTGAAAGATTATTCTCAGCTGGCAGCATGAGTTCATATCGTCAAGGTGATGAATGGAGGTAAGTAGTAACTGTAGCATTCTGTCATGCAAATTATGTTCTTGTGTATTATGGCAGATAAAATGGTCGTAAGTGCCTTGTGGGAAAATTACAAACGTACGTGCAACTTCTTTCCATGTGATACTAATCATTTTTTATTACATGTATTCACTTTTCTGAAAATGTGAATGTGATCGTCCATTACTATTAATACAAAGTAGCAGTACAAATGATAAGTTTTAGTGCCTCACTAGTGATGGCATCATCTGTATCCTGTGAGCTGGAGCATTATCTACAGTAATGCACATGTACCGGTAGGAGGGCCCCAGGGCTGCATAGTGCATACAGTACTGTACCAAGTCCAGCTTTTTAATTCCAGTTATTAAGTTGTACATACATGTTTTTCACATGCAAAACATTCTTGCCCAAGCAACTTCTATAAATCCACTTGTTAGCTGTTGGATATTATCAACAGTCTCCATATTCCTGTTGAGATGTGAGATTAGCAATGCTTCCTGGGGATGCATGTCTCACTGCAACCCCAGGCTAAAATGGAAGTATTCCCAAGGTACTGTAAATTACCAGTACAAGGCAAGAGCATTTACACTGGGAGCACCTCATGAGATGGCAGGTGTCATCAACCTTGAAGGAGAGCCAGTGAACTTGTGAGCGAGACTACTAACCATTCTGCATGCATGATGTGGTTAAACAAGGGAATGACAGCCATACTTTGTCCTAGACAAGCTTTACCACATTTTAATGAATTACAACTGAAATCTGTACTAAAAACACCCAAAGTATAGTATGGATTTATTTTCAATCCAAACAACTTACCTTTTAGGTCATTTCAGTCAGTAGGAGTTTGCAGGAGATGTGAGACATTTTAAAAACTGCTTCGGAATGCCTTTTTGAAGGTTCTTTTCATTTATTAAATACTGCCCCGTTTATTAGACATTGCCTTTCATTATGAAACAGCAAGTCAATAGTGCTTAGAAAGGTGTTGTTTGTATGAATGAGATTCACTGTGGTTTTAAAACTGAAATGTTTTCACCTGTAAACAAGACCCACTATTTTGGTGTCCCTTTTGTAATATACAATGTACATTTGTACATGTACATGGGCAATTTATAAAATAATCTGAGGAATAAAAGATCATTGGGTTCACTCGCTGATCAAAATATCCTTATTAATGGCAAATCAAAATGTCTTAACTAATGAAAGTGTGAAGTGATAAAGATTTTGTGCTTTGAATCTTTTTATTTTGGGCCATTTCTGGTATTTTTATCTGTAAGATAGGGACACAAAATGGTGTTCCACTAAGCAGTTTTATTATGCACAGAATCCTTATTTTATACTAAGCAAATTTTTCTTGGTTAGACTGAAATACGGGTACATGTGAGTATGAATTATCAAAACGAGAAGAAATTAAGTGTCCCCTTTACATTTGAAACTCTGAAGGGTTGTGAAGTGATAGATTGGCATTGCTTGAGTAAATACTTGATTGATTTTGTCTGAAATTAATTGGGATTATCAAACTTTAATAGACTGAAAGATAGCAGTGAACACAGTGTGAATCACTTTCTCCTTTTTCTAATTTACAAAATAGCCTATTTATATTATCTGCCCTCCACTATACTCAGAATACTTCAATGTCTGTTAAACAGTGTCTGTTAAACACATTTACAAAGCATTACAGACACTGCATCTCAGAAAGTAATGCCAAAAAAGACGAAAGCTTCCAAAAAATGCCCCAAAAAGTGATAAAAGCTTTTCTTAATTTATGCGAAAATATTTACTGTCAACAATAGACAATTTAAACACTGTTCACAGCACTAGTCAGGTAGTCACAACGGCAAACTGGCCAACTGTGTCCGTGTATCACGTGGTAAGCACCCATGATGCATCCAGACAGGCGGACAATAAACCTTGTGCTGTGGCAGGAAATTTTACAGAAGCATGCTCACTTCAAGTACGAGCAAAACAACCTCAGATTTAACTTTTGAACACAGAAATACACAGACAACAGACTAAGTTCTGTGAATTAAATTGCTGAAATCTTTTCGCAACATCAGTGTTTTTTTGACTTGCAGCTGTAGGGTTGGGCACGGCGTGGCGCAGCGTGGCGGGAACCAACGTACCATTGCTTTAATGCATTGAGCTTTGCACATGTGTTTTCACCACTGTGAGAGCAAAAAGTGAAGGGAATTTATTTTTAAAAATTTGTCAACACTTTATTTGTCTAACTTGCCAATAAAACTGTTAGTTTCACACTGAAAATTAAGGGCGGTGGAGAAATCAGCAGCAGAACTGGTTTTTTTGGGGGGGCGAATAATTTGAACAGTTTTCAGTGGCTGGCACATGCACTCCTGTATATCACGTTTGTTAACCTTTCACATTGTTTGTTGCAGTTGATGGAGATTACAGATCAGTTCTTACATGGCTCACTTTCCCTTTCTGTTCCAGTAGTTTACAAATGTATGTAATTCCTGATGCATGTCTCTTTTTCAACGCAGAAAACAGAGCAGTGGGGATCTGCAGAGTCGACTCAAAACAAGGAAGTTGCTGGGTGTTGGAGAGTGTGAAGATGGTTCAGTACCAGTTTCTAAGGTACATTCTCGTACATATGTACATTGTTTTTATTTGAGTGGGGGACTGGGGGCATGTTAACATTGCAGGATATGCAACTGTATGTTGTATGTTTGGAAAGAAGATAAAATTTGTCATAATAGCATAACTATTTAGTGTAATAAATAGCTTACATAAGCTTAAGAATGTTTATCAGTCACTTAATGAATAGTTTGAAAGAAATGCCTGTAAATGGTTAGTCAACATCAACCAAGTGGAAATTGTGAAAGAAAGCTAACGGTTCACTCTAATCAAAAACTGCATAAACTAAAGGTATTCATGGCAGAAATATCTTCATGGTTTGGGAACATCATTTCATTGCCTGGGTTTGTTGGCAGTTATCAAAGTCAGTCAGATGCAGTCATTCCCACAAGCAGAAAATTGCCATAGAACACTCAGTTTGACATTTGTACAGTATACAGTTGAATGCACAGCCTTAAGACCAACCAGGAGGCACATGTACATGTACATTGAAGGTTAGCTGCAACCTCCCTAGATTGTATGTAATGGGATTGCTTAGAGTTGCTATGGAGTAATCTACACACTGACTCTAGGCAACGTCATCTTCAGCATGAGTAGAGATGAACTGTAGCTTGATTGATGTGATAGTCAACGCATGTCAAGGGTTTGTCAGTTCGAGCAAGATTTATTGCAAGCTCATATAATTAACATCAAGTGGGTACAATGTCTTTGGATACACGAATTCTGAATTTAATGTACAATGTGCATGTACATGTACAGTATTTGATAACTGGGCTTGAAAGCAAGTTTAAAATTTTCTTTCTTTACATTTTATTGTCTCTTATCGGGACTGATTTAGAATTATATTTATTTTGGAAATTAGAGTTGAGTAACAAAAAAGGCATGTTAAAGTACTTTTCAACTTGCTTTCATAATGCAAGAATGACATTAGACGCTAATCAACAATGCTAATAAGGCTGGAATCATGTGTTCAAATACTGAGCACTGATAGGTCAACGTGACGAAAGTGATTGCATGTACATGTACATGCATGCAATATGGATCATGCAGATGAATTCTTTCTGGTAGCAAATGGCTGGTTTTGTGAAGTAAATGTACAGTAGGCAGCCTTGAGCATTGTAATTTTTTGTCCCATTGACCTACATGTATCAATGCTTAGTATTTGAACATGTGATTCCAAGTTTATAAGCATTGTCGATTAGTTTCTAATGTCATTCTTACATTTACATGTACATGTATGCTGTTATGATTGCAAGTTGAAAAGTACTTCAGCAGGCCTTTTTTGTTACTGAACTCCATATTTTCTGATTTTGTAGTACCAAACATCTATTTGTTTCTTTTTATTTTGTGGGAAACGTTTAAGAAAATTTGTGCATACGTGTGTGTTTTTCTTTGTTGCACACTGACAGTTGGTCGAGAACATGTGATGGATGTACCGGTACTCACATAAATGTATGGTTTATTGAAGATATTCAGAGTTGCATTGATGTGCATGTGTATTATACACGAATAGGCTGTACATGTTCATACCTGGAGAGGGCTCTTGAATGTACAGTTGAATGCATGGCTTAATGAGACCATCCAGGAGGCACTCTCTGCCTGTACAGACCCCAAGCAGTTTCATCCTTTGTTTGATGCATTCATCCACATCACTCATTGATTTTTCCAACATGTTTATTGTATCCTTTGTATGTTCTTTCAGATAAGTCAGATCTTGGGAAGTGATGATCATTACTTGATGACATTGCCTAATGGGCTGCGGTTATGGCAGGTTGCAACAGCTATTGTTTTCAGTGCAGTAGCATTGCTGGTAAAGACACTCAGATTATTTTGTATCCCATTGTTACATTATTACATTAGTATATTTATATATGTATAATGTTAACGTATCCCAAATCTTTCAAATGTGTGACTTTTTGCAGTATTTCAGTGGATTCAAGCATGAAGGCTTAAAGACTGGTTTCAATACCTGTGTATTGAATACAGGTATTGCTTACATGTACATGTCCAGTACATGTAGTTGGCCAGTTGGAATGTACATGTATTAATATTAGTAGATCCAGGCTGGGGGAGGCAACAGGGATATAGCCCCCTTAAAGGATCAATTTTTAAAAGCAAAATGAGTGAAACGCAACTTTGGGGGACATTGTTTAAAACTTCCTTTCCTTCAAAAAGAATGCCAAAAAGTCCCAAAATAATATACATCACCCCTCAGACAGGCCAGAAAAAGGTTGCATAAATAAGTTAGAAAATGTTTCACTCTCAAAACCAAATTGCACTCGCCATAATTTGGTTCTCTGTCTACCCATCAAACCAAGTACCGGTTGGGTACATGTACCGGTACCTTGTAGGCCCCTATGCCTCCAGTATTGTATACATGTACTTGTGTTCTTGCTTTATGTGCAACCCAGTCTGGATTTCTGACAGTTACCATTCTTATTCAAATCCCAAATAGTTCCCTAACAACTTCAGAAAACACCTGGAAATTTAGATAATGTAAATGCTTCAAGACAAATTATCTACAAGGGATTTTTGGAAAATTCAACAGTATATATTATAAATGTAGTGAAAGAATTGTACTGGTATGTGTCTCAAGAAGAGCTAAAATCAGTAAAGACTTGGTAAAATACATGTACCATGGAAGTTTTGTGAAACAATGGAATAAATTAATAATGTCGTAGATATTATTTTTTGGTGACACAAAATGTTACTATACAGTTAGACTGATTCAGGGAGTTATGTGATCTTCAAATTTAGTATGGGGATACGGTATGTTCATTGACATTTTGGAAGCTTTCAGTTTGGCCTTCCAAGCAGTGGAAACAGAAAACATTGAACCTACCTGTAATTGTCTACAGACACCAAAGAATTTTCATCCATCATCAGTAATGTTAAGCAACAGAATTGTAAATTTGTCAGTTGTCAGAAGCTTTTAGTTTGTCCTTTTATTCATTAAAAATAAAATGTATTCATTGAATCTGGTCATTGCTGTGACCTTACATTTTGTTATCTGTCCTATATACATGTACAGTGTAGGCCATGCTTTTTTGTAGTGTTGTTTGTAGATTTGTTACAGAAACCTTCTTGTTAACCTTTCCCATTATTTCATAACAGTGATCTTTGACATTTTGAATTCCAGGCTGTAATTTTTCCTCTATCATTATTTTATGTCTTTGTCTTATGTAATTTCTTTGACTTTCTGGTTCTGTCCTAGGCCATGATTTTCCCTGTACCATTGTTTGATGCCATATTTGCCTCCAACTGCAGTGCTGATGCTATTTTGCCCATTCGTCTCTTTGGAGCAGCTTTGACATGTAAGTACAAAATGGTTTTGTATTGTGAGGCCATAAAAATGTTCAATGGTTACTTCATTGAGAGGCAGTTCATTTCATTAAATGTTACATTATATACACGTATGAAATTACTGCACAAGTCTTGTATCCATATCTTTGGTTTGGACCACTGGAGCATATGTGATTTGATCTGCGATAACCCTTCACATGGTCAGCTTTGTCATTCTGGTGCATATCAACTTCAAATTGATCTGGACACAGTCCTGTTTTAAAAAAGTGTTTAGGCAATTTCTGCCCACAATCAATCGAGCCAATTTCAGAAACCTGTGAGGTCAAATTTTGTGTTTGTGGTGGGTTGATGACAAACATGACAGGGAGAAAGGCACAACAGGCATGTATGAAGATACATTTAAACTACCTATTTAACCTACCTATAGTGAAACCTCATGCAGTCGTTGAGGTAGTCCACACATTTCCCCCTTATTGCGCTTCTCAATTCATCTTGCTTCTAAAGATGATGGATTCGTTTGAACAAGTCCAGAAATCTTTTGGCATATCACTTATCAGCGACTATGGGAAGGTTTGAAATCTAGCCTTACTGTGTTGATGAACTTTGTCAAGGCACGAGTCAATGTATTTTACACCGACATGTTGGAAAGCATGGAGAGCAGCTAACTCTTTGTTTTTATGAGCATTTCTGTCCATTATGCAAGACTGGGGTATGTTTTATTTCATGGAAAAAAGGCCAAAAATCATCCATTTAAATTTGAAGGAGTGGATGACAAGAAACCTTCACAGTACCACTTACATGGACATGAACAAGCATCCCATGCATGCTGTGTTGTTGTCTGTCTCTCAACATGACGTTTCAGGGTCACTTGCATATCATGTACCAGTACATAAGAAGTGTTTCTGAAATTGGCAATATAAGGTTTCACTGTGGCCCATGTTTTTGACACCATATACAGTATGTAAGTAGGAAAGCTATGGCTTTTTTTATGTTTATTTCAGAAGGTGATCTTGTTGTCTGTTTTATAAGGTTCATGTTGTGGAAAGCAAGGTATCTTTATTTTGTATTTAACTTACACAGACATTATTTGTATGTCTTTGTAAAGGTCTTGGACTATTATTCTGGGGTGCTGTCAAGTCAGTCAGCAGATATATCATAAGATGGACTTTGCTGTCACAAGTCCTGTACCTCTCCATCCAAGCTACAGGTAAAAGCTTAATTGAATTAAACGGTTGAAATATGAAACAAAGTTTTTGTATGTGGGACAGAAAAAATGTTCTTTTGGGGTGTGGAACACTGTAAAACACATATTCAAACTGAACAACAGATTTTGTAGCATTATATCAAGATTAAGTCATAAACTTACCAAACAACACTTTAAGAAAGTTATTAACAATCTTCAATTTTTCATACATGTAGAGTATTAATAAACCAAATTTCATGTAAATGTAGATCACTCGTGTACATATCAACATGAAAAAAAAATAAAAACTGAAAAAAAGGCAACTGGTTTGGAAAACCAAATTACCAGTGAATACTAATTATATCAAATACACGGTACTTTCTCATTCAGACCTTTTTCAGTACTGGCAGCTTTGTCAGAAAAATCCATTGATTGAAATTAGTAAGCAAAGGCGGACTTCTGAACTTTGGTAAAATGTTTCAATAGCTATCCTTAACATTCCCAAATCCTCTGATTTCAATATGACTTTACATACACCCTAGGGGGTTAGGGTTAAGAATGAAATTACTTTTGTTACAACAGTATACTTACATAGAATCATGGAAAAATGTGTTTCTTTGCATGATTTGGCAACAGAAGATAAACTAAGAGTTGAGGAAACTATCTAAAACTTAATTCATTTTCAATAGTACCAGTGATATAATTCAAATACATTTAAAGTTGTATTATGACTGCACATAATAGAAAATGAATACAATAAGCCAACTCAGTATTTCAATGAGATAAGGTAATTTGGGATACAATCAGCTGATGCCATGCCAGGCTGAACATGTTCAATGTTTGGAGTTTGTATACATCTGTGATAATAGGACCACTATTTTGTTCATGTCATTAATCATCCCTAATGACCAATTACAGTCAAACTTCGTTAAGAAGAGTACTGTTTAATAATATAAGATTATTTTTATAACAAGGAAATGTTTAGGTCCCTATCCTTTTGTTTGTCATATTGTTTTCATTCCTGATAACACAAGGTTTCTGTTATAACAACATACTTTGCCAAGTCCTCTTATTAACAAGGTTCGATTGTATATGCTTCATGTTTGTGAATTGCAAGGTCACTGCAGATTTGATCCCTGTAATAATTATCATTCAGGGCATGCATTGTCCTACAAAGCCAGGAACCAGTGTGTACATGTACACCGTACATCCACTCACGTAAACATCCTCTTTACATGTAGATGTCACTGTGTGAACTCAAATAAGATAAGATTTACATTTTGATATTCCAATAAGCTTGCTAAGTGATAGCTTGCTAAGTGATAGCTTGCTAAGTGATAGCCTGCTAAGTGATAGCTTGCAAGGGGAAACTGAAATCAAAGGTACTTTGGTAGAAACTGCATAATTTTTTTTTTTTGTCCCCCAAAAGAGTTGAGTGTGTGATGTGCACATGTGAATTACATGTACACAAAGAATATCACCGATTGAGAATTTGAATGAAAAATTATAAAAATTAAGCCAAAATATTGCATGTACATGTCTGTTTGATTGAAACCAGGCAAGAGTTAGGCATGCAGTATCTTGTTACAGTGACGCTTGTACAACTGGAGGATATTTCTGAGAAGAATGCAGCTTACCAAAATCTCTGCCAATTAGGGAAAAGAAGTGACTTGACATATTAGAGGGTTGCACAGTATATTACTGGAGATGATCTCATGACAGAGTACAAAATGTATTCCATCTTCCTTTGTATCTATTTTAGTAACTCATTAAGATGCCTCCAAAAACTAATAGCATGCACTTGGGCTGTGTCTGAACATTTTTCTTTCTTCCTTATAAAAATGAAGTAGCCCAAAATCTTGACTTTGTCAGGTACCGTATAGTACATGTATTTCTCAAGTGTTGCACGAACAATTTAAATAATCCAGGCACTTCGTTCAGAAAGCTTATGAAGTAAATGTATTTAAAAGTGTCGAAAGCAGCATAATCGATTTGTAATTTGATGGATTGAACTTTTCAAACCACTTCCTGCATACTTGACAACCTGAAAGCCACGCTTACATGTACACATTTGCAACTCTGTAAATATACATGTACTTCCTGGTTTATCATTACACGTCTGCATTATAACCATTGACCACTTGAGGGATACTGTAAGTACCACTTACCCATGGTGACTGTCACTAAAGCCATTGGCTGCTTATTATATGCCATATAAATACATGCTATATAATATTCAACCTATCTTTATGTGTTGTCTGATTACAGTGATGATGTGCAGTTTGTATGGGAGTTTGTCCTTCAACTTCTCCAGCGTGCTGGTGCTGCTTGTTCTGTTCATGGCTATCACAATCAGCTTGTATTTTTATGCCATTCTGTCTGGATTCAATGCTAAGTGGCTATGGAAACCCAAAATGGTTACCTATGATGTGTCATCGGCAGATAAGAGTGATTAGGCAAGGATCAGCTGAATGTCTTGCATTGTCCACCTAGCATAACCTCAGTCCAGTTGGTATTTGGTAGTGGTGAATGTCAGCTGGTGTCATTTCAATGAGCAAATAAAACTGTCCAAGTTACATAGATACATTTACATGTAAATATAGTGTTAATGTATGTCACTTCATTTCTCTGGAACTCCTGGGTTTAAAGATTTGTTCATGCAGCTTGTATAATTCATTGTCTGCACTATGAAGTGATGTATTGTGGATAGTTGCCGCACCACAAACTGATGTATCGTGTGCACAAAGTCTATGGATGGTAAGTCACATCATGGTACACCAAAACATCACTTCGTAGTGAAACCGACAAATTATATGCATGATCATTATTGCACGTGTAGAGATCGACCCCCCATACCTTCAGATAGCCTCAATTAAACATTGCTATAAGGACATTATGGGTCTAGATAATGGGAGATTATATAAACTGGATTATTACCTGCAGTTATTTAGTCCCCAAGGCCCAAACTATGATTAAACAGTGCAGTTTATTGAGAAAAAGTTATCATCTCCTCCATTCATTTGAGGGAAACTGCTTGATTTATTTGCCTTCATCTTGCCCTCAAGGAAGAGAAGTAGATATCGCAGTGTTAAATAACACATCAGAATCATGGCATACTGAATAGTAGAAAGCACAAGTAACATGATTAGTATACCAGTGGTAAATCGAAAGCACCGCAGGTCTAAAAACGGTAGGACAGAAACAGAGTATAACTTGGTTGGTTCATTGGAGACAACAATACAGGTAACTTTTATGGAGAAATGAAGATGTCAGTAGATTTAATGTTTAGGAGCATCAGAATGATAAAGGTAGCCCAACTCACACTGTTTGTCCCAGTTTTCTATTTACAGTGCTCAAATTCAAATCAATAGTTAAGTCAACTGAAGAGGGTTTGCTTGAAGTGACTGATGTCCAAGAGAGGGTGTACTAGGTTTACCTGGAATTTCAATCTTGTTTTTCAATTGAGGGAAAAATTATCAATCTTTGGGGGATCCCTCATACTCCGCATAGCAACACTCCACTGTTTCTTGTGTATATTCCATTCAGGACACTTAATATACCAAAAAATGCGTGTATAATGGAAAGATAATGTATGCTGTGCAGTATATGAAACATCAAACTGTACATAATGTAGCATGCTTACACATTCTACAAGTCAACTTCCACAGTGCTACATTTTACAATTGCACATGTAGTTCATGTGAAGTTGTGGTTGAAAGTTTACATGCACTGGTACTAAAAGTTTTACTTACAAGAACTAAATTACAGTGTTTAAGACCTGGCAACCCTTCCTGTTATTTACGTAATCAATCAGAACATGTGCTCTACTTTAATCATTTATTCAAAAATTCATTGAATTACATATAAAGTGGTGTGCTGACTCTTCAGCTACAGAAGGAAGAATAATTGTCAAGAATCAGCAAAGTCGTAGAAATTGTATTTGAACTGTTTAAGTCAGACTTTTGACAACTGTAGATGCCAGTTGAATTGCTGTCACCTTTTTATTTTGCAAAATTACAAGTATTACTCTCTTGAAATTATTTGCTTTCATGAAGTCTAGAAAACTTTTTTGGGCTAATAAGAAAATAAGTAATATCAAGAAGATACCACTATCCATATAGGGCGTATGTGGAGTATTTTTGGTTTTCTTCTGATCATAAATCTCATTCTTTCACAGACACATTTTATGACAGTGCCTGGATACTTTTGCATTCTATCTGTTCATTGGATCGGCTAATGGAAGCCAGATATACATGTACATTCTTTGAGCAAAACTACTTTGAAGAGAAACTACTTTGAGTAGAGCTACAGTGTACTTGGAGCAGAAAAGGACGTGAAATCTGGAAAAAGATTATTTAAAATTGCACTAAGAATTAAAGAATTAGTGAGTACAACACACTGACCATTATTATGCATGAATGTTTATTGCACAGTATGATTTGTATTCGTGTCCACTGCATGGAGTTAGAGTCGTACGCACAGTTTAGACAAAGTATCAGTTAAAATACAAACAGCATTATATTTTACAAGACAGTATATACCTTTTCCATGCGTAATGTTCCAAATACGTTAAGCATTGTGTTTGGTCAAGGAACTTCTGCAGTTTTATAATCATATAAAATGTCCATAAAATCCACCACTTTCAGTGTTTGAAGTAGAAACCTGCAGAGAGTATTATCAGAAATTGCATTTGTGCTCAGTGTATAGTGGGCCAGCAGTCGCATGACATTCGTGCTGGTTCAGAACTATGCAAATACAATACCTATAGGTTATGCAGTGTGGTGTTTCACCAGGGGAAAACAAGCATTTTTAAACCAGTAAATAAATTCCTCAAGACTTAATATTAAAGCCTAGCATTCATCAAAAATGACTTTGTGCTTGTATATGTGCAATATACAGAATTCGTGCCAATAATTTGGTCAAAGTTGAATTCAGTTCAGCTAGAGATGCATTCTGTCCCGCTTGAGCTCATGTGGTACATGTAGATGCAAAATTAACACATAAGGGATTTTGTTAGGGCATATCAAGTGACAAGTTATTCATGAACTTTGTGAAAAATTCTTGCAAGTGGGAACAAGCCCTACCTTTGTGCTTGGCAGATTTGTGCACTTATGCAAAACAGGTTTAATCATTTTGAAGTTACAGCAACAATATTTCATGAAGTATACGAAATATAAACATAACTTGGAGAACAAGATAAAATTGAAGTAGAATATGGATGTTGCTAGCCTTCTTTAACTTCTGCCGTAACAATTATGGAACAACTCATGGTAAAGTTCGTCACACTGGTGCAATGATGCCATGTAGGTATTTTTGGTGTATACTGGCTTGAACCACAGAAGGGTCGATGTATATACATGTACATGTACAAGTATGTTCACAAATGTACATTTAGTTATTTTTGTGTTAGTAGTACAGTACTTAAAACACTTGAAGGTCTAATTGTAATAAAACACATTGTATTATATAGATATAAATGCATCAGTTGCATTATGGAACAAGTTCTGGGGCGGCTTTTTGCAACTTGACACCTCGTTCCTGGCAATGATTTCACAAAATGTGGCATGACGTGGGATGACATGGCACAAATTTTTGCCATAGCTGCACAGTATACGTTCAATTTCACAGAAAGTTGCTTAGCTGCGTAACGTTTTAATTATATTAATTTCTTAGACTACAGTTACAGCTTTTACGACTGTACCTTTGCAATATTACAGCAGTCATCTACCAGTCATTGAATTACCTTCACCCGCCATTTGAAAAAACTTTTTTCTTCATTGGCATGGACAGAAAATCTCAAATTTCTCTTTCAGCCAAACAAAACTTTTCACAGACATCTAAATCAAAGCTGTGCATTGTACGTTTCTTGTGCAAGCCTTGTTAAGTTAAGCAATGATGAACCTTAACCAAATATTTTATTCATTTCACTTTCGCTTTGTTCGGCATAACTTACACCACCTAAAATGATTGCGTAAGTAACACCACAAATTGTTGTGCAAGTTGGGGACTTTAGTGCTTAAGTTTTGTGAAATCACTTTAATTTGTTGCGCAAAGAATGCAGTAAAATGTGACATGACATGACACCATTGTGTAAAGTGTCATAAAATCAGATTCTCCAGGAAGGGTAGAATGTCCTCTTTGCAGTGGTATAAGCTTGTGATGTTATTGACACAGATGATGGAACGAATTAGACCGATGTTAAGGGTTTTGCCATAACAGTAATTTTTATCTCGGTATATGTTTTAAGTGGACACCCTGTATTGCAGAAACACCGTCAATCATGCTCTGGTTGAAACCTGACAAAGTTAACTTTATACTGAAAAAATATAGTCAAGGTTTTGGAATTACTAGTTTGTTGTTCAGGCTGTATGCAGATCATTTGTTTTGACGTTAATTAATTTGGAAGTGTTAATTGTTGTATCACTGTCTATTCAATTTTATTTTTCTTTGGATTTGGCTCCCCCCCAAAAGATATCAGTCAGTACGGATGGGGTGGAGCCCTCTCCCCCATGAAAGACATCTATGGTATGATGTATGCATTTCTTTTTGTTCCACCTGTTTGCAAGCTGGAGTAGTTAGTCTTGCCATTAAAAATATTAAAGTGACTTGAAAACTCTAAGTATCAAATGTGGGAAATAAAGCAATCGCAAAATTCAACAATATTAGATCTTTTATTTCTAATTGCTGGAATAAATTGAATCAAGTTGTATTGTCATTCTCAAGTATCTGAGACTGAATATTTTGTTAAGGACCGTGCAGAATTCCACAACAATAAACACTGCAATATATATTGATCATTAACATCCTATTTACATTTTAACGTCCCACATAAGTACAATAGTGCCGTGTGGCTCAGCACAATTTCCTCTTTAGATTCAGTGCGCTTGTCGTAGTGACCTAATGTAGACATTCATATTTTTATTTACAGTCTGTTTATGCACAGCAAAAAGTGAAAGTCAGGACTTGCGCATACGTTGATAATATTTATGGACCAATACAGTAAAAGAAATATGGGCCTTAAAATGACTGTGAGCAGTTGTCTCAATATTGGATAACTGACTCTGAAAAATTCCTTGCAGACCCCAAAACTATAGTTACTACAGTACAGAATGTTGAAAACTGAGGGATAAACCGATGGGAAAAAATACTGAAATCTTTTAAAATAGGAAAAGTATCATACCTGCGATCAGTGTTGTGGTTGAGACCTCTTCTGACCATCACAAGATCAAACAAGGCCATCATAACCTCCAGTCTGAATTCAAGTCACAAACTATTCATATGAACTGCAACAAAAGCATTCCTTTGTCACTGTCTAGCCTGTTTCTTGTGACTGGTCTTATAACAGTCTTGACAACAACACTGGCTGCAATATACACCTTTACTTCCATTTATATTATATAAGCAACAGGCTGGAGGGAAACGACACTTAATGTTTAACTAACCTTTTTATCTTGCCGGCAATAAGTACTTGACAAAGCATCACTGTTACAGGTATAAATAACAGAATTACAGAGACCAGGTAATACTGACAGGGGGTTGAACTATTGTACATGTTGGTGGGATCTCTCTGAAAATCTTTGTGTGTAAATATTTGCCCCTTGCTGATGTCATAAATGACATGACAATTTCAAGGCCTATAGTATGAGACTTGCCTTATTTACAAAATTAACTATGGAAGTCAGCAGTCAAGTACTGTAATTATTTATATGTTATTGCACTAACAACATTAATGTTTATAAAAAATGTGTAAATCCACAATTGTATTAATAAAATAAGTAATATAAACATGGAAGTGTTTGAAATGTATGATTGTTATTATTATGGATGATGATAATCTCTCATATTTCATTTGGCTAGAATAATTTGAAAATTTATTTCAACAACTAAATGTTATTTCTGCCGGGAGCCCTGAGTACAGTGCATATCTGTACATGTAACAGCTTACATGTGCATTTACAAGCCAGAAAGATCAGCAATGGTACCGTTTCTGTGAAAATCATATCTGTATACTAGATGCCATGATGCCTTCACATCAAGGCAGATGAGTGACTTTATTTTTACCCGAGATGATTGAGACAAACAGAATTATTCAGCAAGAAACTTGTATCATGAGAACTGCAAATAGAAAATTGACAAAGACACAACAATCACCTTGGGTGGAAATGGTCACAGATGTATTGATGTTACTTAATTGACATGAATGATGGAAAAAATACAAAATGAGGAAGAGTATGAATCTAAACACACACTGAGGCTGAAGAAAACATGAAAAAATTAGAGTAAAATTAAAACTGGGAACACAGGGTTTGAAAGAAAAGGTACGGTTACAACTGACAGACAACATGCAGTACATGTGTATGTCTCAAGCCACGGTCAGTACATGTAGTTCAGAAGTATACAACCTTATGCATGCCATCAACTCGGTGTAGGAACAAGAGAAGGCATGTGCTAACAATGCTTTTTTGGAAGGAATTCACTCATGTCTGTTTGGCATGAGCTGCTTGAAGCCCATGCAACCATTTCAGTAATCAACAGTTCAAACAGCTTTGTTGAAATGTGTGGTCTTAGCATATGCACTGACTGCATGTTTGAACCCAGTTGAAAAACTGTGCACCAGCCTCTCTTTTCTTGGCTGAAGAGGGGTGCACCTCTTCCAATCGGAGTGGATACCAGGCATGCCAATACATGTACATGTATTGGCATGCATGTATTGTACTAAATGTACCCCTTGCTGCCACAATGGTGCAGGCAGGTGTTCCAGGTGATCATGCAAACTGTGTTGCATTCAGCCATTTGGTTGTTTATGGATAGTGATATGGCATTGAGTTCTTTCGATAGGAATTAAACTTCCAGAATGACTGTGTTGGTCAGTTGTACTTCTCTAAGATCACCTCGATGACTTCCACGGAGGACAAAGAGCTCTAACCAATCACACATTTCACGAAGACAAGCACTTTAGGACTGCAGACATATACAAATTACATTGGTGATTCTCAAGGTAAAGCCATTCATTTTTGGATGACACTAAAATTATACATGGCCAACATGAACAACAAACAAGCCAGCTACTCCAGGGTCTGCCATAAACTTTGAATCAAACTGCCTCTGCAGGAAAAGTCACCAAACACATTTCATAGAGGTACAGTCCTGTCCATTGTTTACACACTTTTCATGTGAGAATGACAGACAACAGTAGAAAGCAACAGCAGGAGTACTTGATGCATTCTGACTGAATCAGGCAATGTAATCCTATCGGCAGCAAGAGGCAAACACATCAACATGTCCAACAAATTTACTTGGAAGCAGCTACTGGAACGTAGCTTTGGGGAAAAAAAAAGTGGTTCTTGGATACTCTGGGAGGCAGCCATAACACAATGGCAAGGTAAAGTTCATCGTTTACTGGTCCATCCTTTGAGCACTGGCCTGTTACTCCCAATTCCTCCCCTCTCACGGGTTCTTCCACTTGGCGCTGAATTGGTCTTAATTGCTGGTAAGCGAAGTTCTTCATGTGCTGTCAATAAATGAGATAGCACACAAACACTACAGGTTTTGCTGCATAAACCCTAGCAATGTATGGAGTAACTAAGCACAATGATATCTCTTTTTGAAATGAAATTTTCATCTTTTCAAAGGCAGTCTGTCTTTTGAAGGCATGCAGTCTTTTGAGCAGGCTGTTGTCAGACTGGTTTAATGCTCTTCACTGGCCAGTATGGGAAAGTAAGAGGCTCTGTGTGAAGAACATATTTATGATGTAATTGGGTAGAAAGATGGTGGCCAAAAGAATTTAATCAGCCTTGGTATTCTACAAAGTGGAACTCATAAAAATTGTAACCTTTCCCACATACCTTAACCTTAGATACTGCATGTGCGTTACCATGAAAGGCTCAACATTATTAAACATATTTTTAAAAAGACAAGGAACAGAATTACATGAACACAGCAAGGTAAACTGTTTTAAACAGGAGACAAATCAAGAAACAACTCAATTTAAAATTATTTCAATCAGTTTAACTGCCTCCATTCAACAACTGTTTCCCACCAGCCCTCATATTCTCTATCTTGAATTATGTCTCTTGGACACTATGGTACTTTTTGAAGATACGTGACCACAGATTATTTCAATACAGGTGTACCCTTTCACCGTTCCTATGTCTCCCCCACCTCAGTAACACAACACAGTCACCATTCAAAACAAAATCATAAGAGAAAAACTGAGTTGCTAAGTAAAAAATGCCAGGGGTAAATTTGAAGCAATGTACAATCCACTTACAATGTGATGAGAATGAATGGCTTCTTGGCCTATGTGACGTACTGCTTACGCTGCTAGCACCATCAATAGACTGCAACTCCAGTAAGGGACTCGCCTGATAATACAAAGTGCATATCATTACATGTTAATTTTGGATTTTTGCCCTGCCCGATGTGTATTTTAACACTGTATACTCAGTGTATGCCCCCAAAGGCTTGTGAAAAAACCACAAGCGTACTCAGGTGGGACTCGAACCCACGACCTCCTGCTGACTAGTGCAGACGTCTTAACCACTCGACTACCGAGCTTAGCGGTGTCGACCGGCTGGTTTGAATTGGATGTAGCAGTGGGTACCGCAAACAACTGTATCAAAGCTGGATTTACACCAACGAGATGTATGCCTTTGGGGGCATACGCTGAGTATAGAGTGTTAAAATACACGTTGGGCCAAAGTCCAAAATTAATTTACATCTCCCCAGTGCAAATCCATTTTTGAAATAGACATTACATGTCATTGTTATCAATCAATTAGAATTACCTTCACTGTAAGTATCGGCTATTACAGCCCTTGACATGACAATGCCAAACAGTTAACAACAAAACTTACATGTACATGTAGCTTTTTATCCAACCGTGGTTATGATTACAAAGCGGTGCAAATCCATCTTTGAAATAGTAATTTCTGAGACAGGAAACAGCTTTACGCAGGGTTTCCTTCTCAGTTTACCAAATATACAATAAGTGAAATGATCCCAACGAAACGGAATACTTTAGCATGACTTAACACTCAGCCACACTGCCAGAAATATCTACTCCAACTGGCAATGACAAATTCTGTACAGCCTTGTTGATTATGCCTTGCTAATCACAAGGTTAAACAGCACGTCTCCATACAAGAAATCAATATGATTGCCTAGGTTATAAAGTGAGTCACTAAGGTTCATTAAGAACATACATGCTGTACTACATGTAGCTACCCAAATGAGGTCAACGTAACATTTAGACAATATCAGTGCACATTATGCTGATACGTTTATTCTTGTTACCATAGTTTCTTGTCAAAGAAACACACAACATACCATGAGTTGAACTCTCCCCTGTATTGCATTGGGACTAATAGCAGGTAAATTGGGCTCACTACTGCTCTGTCTGCCATACTCTTGCAACATGTCATCTGGAACTCCAGTATGACTGTGAACCCATCTGTATTGAAATAAATAAGTCAAAACGTTTACTGACAATGCTACGTTTCCTACACTGTACAGTTACTTTCAGTAATGTTAGAAGACATCTTTGCTTACATAGCTAAAAAAGGCTACTTCTGTCTGACCGTAGTGAAAGCCATTGGCAGATGTTAAGACTTACACTGATTGAGGTCTTTGGAATCATGGATAGTACGGTAATATTCAATATTTTTAATCAAAGTCTTGCCAAAATGGTTTGACACCATGCATACAAGGATGTCTTGCATACACTGTAGCTGTGTTTATTACTGTTTTTAACTCCATGACGAATAACATTAGTGCTTTAAAAAGTATATTTTTATGGAAACTGTATCATGCTGTAAATGTTAAGGGGCTCAGCATTTCAACCCCATCACAACTGGCAAAGGTAGCTTCGATGACTTTCTAGTTTATATTACTGAAAGGTTATTAAAACAAACATTATTTTGATAGTATGCTTTGATATGATAATATCCTCTGGGGAGGTGCCTTGAACAAATCAACATCTCTGCCCAGTACAATCTATTCCATAGTTGTGTTTCAGAAGTGATAACAGAAATGAGTGTATGTACAATAGCAGATTAACAGGAACTTATGATTCAAATTGGTCAGGTGCAAACCACAAACAGACCAAGATGAAGCACAGACAAATATGATACTAGGTCTCAGTGTTTAAAGACTACAATATTATCATCATCGTACAAAGTAGGATTAACGACCAAATATCAGGAACATGATACTTTACATTTATCCATAATAAAACTCACTCCAATGTTCTAGCATCTTTGTGTTCTTTCTCCTTTCTCTGTGCTGCCATTGTATTTTGGATCTCCTGTTCTCGAGCTGCATAGTTCAAGGCATGAAAAAGAAAAACATGCACTCTCAAAACAAATGAACAAATATGAGCATAAAAATACAAAAAAATGTCATGTTTAACAGACATAAATAAACATCTTAGCTAAACCTTGATTACAATTAATTATTTCAAGATGAAGGTACCTTTTGTTTCAAAAACTGTTATTGACATTTTGAGAAACACCAAACTGATGGCATGGCAAAACTCCTGGACAATTGAAAACAATTCAAACAAGACAATTCTGAAAAATTGTTATGTTTCACTGAGATAAATGACTCCTTTTAGATTTCACTGCTTTCTTCCTTGTCCATGTCTCTACAGCTACAAAATGTTCAATATCTAGACATGCTACTGTAGATACCTTGGAAGAACTCCTGTCTCTGTACACCCCTTTTAGGAGAGGGAACCACTCGAGTAGAATCATGGACTTTCTTCATGTGTTGATATCGCTGTAAAGGATCTGTACCATAAAAGAATGCACAATATCGAAAGTCAACTGTATGGTACTAATAGACAAGAGAACTTGCATGATCAAGATCCCAAGAACCCAAAATACATGTATGAGCACTGGACACAGGAGACTTGCCCAAGAACTGGAGATCCACAGAGAGCCAAATAATGAATGTTTATGAGTGAAATGGTGAAATGGTGAGAGTAACTGTATGAGTTGGTAGATGAAACATGCCATTCAACAAGGGATAACCACATGAAAAACACTCCATATGTTATTGAATGAAATGATTCCTTCAACTGCACAAATGAGAATGTAAGCAATGCATTTTAATGAAGAAATCACGATGCAATCAACAGGGATAATGGAACAAGAATGGTGTGGATTCATTCAGGTGTAGCACAAATATCTTGCCACATCTCATCATCTCATATCTCTGATATCCTACATGTTAATGTTCTTAACAGTCGCTATCTGGTCTATGTACAGGTCAGTCATCTTTTGTTCTGCAAAGAGCATCCACTAAGGCTGTGAAACTTGGTGCACCGCAAAGAGCA